AAAAAAAAAAAAAAAAAAGCTTCACCAACAACAGTAATTAATAAAATAGAATAGAACGATTATAGCAATATAGCATAATAACAGTTATATGAATGGAGTCTCTCTTTTGAAAGAGTCAAGACAAATGCTAGTGTTTTGGGGTTGCAGTTGATCACAGGTTATGGAAACTGTAGATGGGGAAGAGCTACTGTGCTCCCAGAGGTACAATGGAGAATCATTCATCATTGCTTTCCCCACCTCTGGTGACTGTTGCCAGTCAAGAATCATTCCCAATCAGAGCATAATCAAGCATGTGTTGTTGCCTACTGGATGTCCTTGGGCAGCTTGAAACCCTCTCCTCCATATTTTCTTGTAAAAAGGGACATCCCATCGACCAGCCAGCTAGGAATCCTTGACCTGAACTTCAGGGAGCTGGATGTGTGGGTGGCAGTGAGGTGTCAGCAAGGTGCTTCAGTGGAGGAAGGAAAGAGAAAGTTGTAACGTGCCTCTTGGCTCCGTGAAGGTGAAGTGTGCGTGGAGTGGTTAACCTGCTGCCTGGTGGGTAGTAAGCAGTCAGTGACTATTGTCATGGTGACCTGGGAGAGGTAGAGGTGGTAGGGTAAAGAGACCTTGCTCTGGACCAGGTCTGGTTCTGATCTGGGTCTACCTCTTCCTAGCTCACTAACTGCTACCTCTTTGGGCCTCAGCGCCTTTCCTGTGAAGCAGAGAAAATGGTAGGGCTCCCTGATGGGGTCAAGGTGTGGCTTAAATGAAATAATTCACAGAAGGTGCAGGGCAAAATGTCCAAGACCCCTTTGCTGCTCCTGTGGGAGCTTACTGAATCTCCCATCATTCCCATTTTATTTTAGGAAACAGGCTCAGAGAGGGGAATGATTTTCCTAGGTTCTCACCGCAAGTAAACCAGAGGAGCCAGGATTTAAACCCAAGTCTAGGCCCTGAGCCCAACCTCATTCTCCAGTTCTCCCTGCCTTTGAGGTCCCCTGGAGGCTGCCTGGCGGGGCCGGCCCCCAGTTCAGCCCCCTCCCATGTCCTCCTCTTGCAGGTCATCCTTTTTCAGTACTAACGCTGCCGGCACTTGTGCATCTATCCATGGGCACCCCACAGCTGCCCCTCAGCTGCTGAGATCCAGTGTCCCAGTCACAGCCAGGATCCACAGCCTCTGCATTCACCCCCACCCGCCATCCTGCCCGCCACCAGCTCGGCCCCCCAGGCCTAGCCTTTCCCTCTCCTGCTGAGAACCAGAAACCCCCAGCAGCACCACAGAGTCCTCCTCTTGGAAAGCAGAGCTCCCTGAAATTTGGAATGAGGGTGAAAACAACAGCCTGTTTTTCCCATTTAAACAGGAGTCATCTTCAACTTCAGCTGATCACAATAGCAAAAGGCAAATGGAATTGTGCAACGCCAACAGCCTCCTAATTTACAGGTTTTCTTTCCCCTCATATTGGTCTTTATGCACTACTTCCTTGGAACCATGTCTGAATTCTGAATAGCCAACAACCCCCAGTGTTATCCACTCTGTTGCTTTTGTCTGGAAAACTCTACAGTGTTTGTGAGATGTCCCCAAAGGAAAGCTGTGTTCTAATTTTATCATTTCCATCTGTCTGGTTATGTCAAGTTAATTCAGAAAAAGAAGAGACACTGACCAGCCCTGAGAGGCCCAATAAGGCAGTGATGAAGGCCTGCCCGGACCAGGAGGCAGACAGATCAGGGAGGGATGGGGGACACTGGACTGGGAGAAGCACAAACCATTCCAAGGAGAGGAAAGAGAAAGCTTGAGTGGAGGGGAGATTTACCCCCATCTCATTATCTACCATATATGCAGAATCATGGCAGAAATGGTATTTGATCTATGTGATGACACTTCTGAATGTTTGAGAAGGCTAGATCTGGGGACCTTTGTTGGCTACTTGTTTTATTCCTGATAAGGGTGCCTGGCAGGTTTTCCCTTGGGGAGGACCACTCATGGGGTGTCAGGGAGCAGAGCCCAGTGAAATGGCCGCCAGAATGTTAATTCTTATCCATCTGTCATTAGAGAGAGGTGCTCACTGCCCTTTGCCTAGGTGAGTGTGCCCTGCCCAGGGTTCCAGCTGTTACCACCAGCCCTGCCCAGCCCCACCCTACCCACTCCTGAGAACAGAGGCCAGACTTAGCTGTGCTCACATTCATCCCATTCTTCTGCGATCTTCCACTCTGAACAAAGGGCTTGGGCAATGCATAACCATGATTTATGTTTTCAGGGGATGTCCATTTGTTTCAAGCTTATCCTGTAATTCTAGAACTACTTGGAGACCTGATGCCTTTCCCACTAGAGGCTGCTAGTAAGCATGTTTTAGCTCAAGTCCTCATTCCTACTTTGGAAGGAAACCATAGGGAAACATATGCAGCTGCTGTCCCCATTTTCACCCATGTCAGACATCACTAACTGATCACAACACTCTTAATTTCATTGAGTCTGGATAAGCTTTCAGAATTCACATGCTTGAAGTTGGCACTTAAATGAGAACCTACATGCCAGTTGCTCTGAGACCTGGAGGAAGGTTAGGCTTGAGAGTGGCCTGAGAAGGGAACCCGAATCCCCTCCCTTCCAAAGATGTTACAGCTGACTAAGGACAAAGAAAGCAACACTCACAATGTGGTGAGTGTAGCACAGTTCAGAACTCATCCAATGGACACTTATGCCCCTGGGCACTGACTTAACAAGCGCTAGCTACCTGGGCCTGATCCCTGGCCTTGGGGAGCTCAAATCTTTCCTTTGATTTTTTGCTCCTAAGGATCAAAGCCCCAATCACAACCATGTGTCCAGTGGCCAGTTGAGTTCTGCCCAGGGTCACCTAGGACCCACTCTGCCTTGAGCCTCCCCCCAGGGTCTATTCCTGTGGATTGCCTTGCATTAGCATGTTACAGTCAATCATCTTCACTACCCTGTTAAGAGCAGCCTGGGAACATACAGACCTTTGAGACTATTTATTTAAAGACAAAACAAAAGGGGAAAACACACACATGGAAAAAAATTGTAAGCACTTTTTTGTAAAACCAATGTCTGTTTTGTTACATACCTTTCATGTCGTGCTTTGTAAATGTCTTATTTGTGTAATAAATAAAGTTAATGCGAGTAGAAGTGCTGGCACTTAAATCCAGAACATGATGGGATTCCATTTCTTTCCTGTTCTCTAGTTAAGGGGTTAGGTGTCTGGCTCCTAGAATATCTGGGCTGTTGGGCAGTGCAACCCTGGAAAGTAGGTACCATTTTCCTGTTAGTAAACTGTGTGCTGCAAAGGCACAATGATGGATTTCTTCTTCAAGTACTACATCGCCCTTGTGTCTCAGTAAGCTTTGAAAATCAGGCTGGTTTCGGTTCTCTGCTCTTCTCCCTGGACGGCAGGCAGCTCTGTACGGGGGCTGGGTGCTGGCTCAACAGATTTAGTGAGAGGTCCCAGCCCCACCCTGCCCTAGAGGAGCTCTGAGTCTGTCCATTGCTATAACAACCACCCCCCCATGCTGTGAGGGATAAAGGGAGGCTTTGAGCAGGATGCTATCAGATGAGAAGATCACAGACTAGAAACAAAAGGAGAGTATGGCTGGGGGGTAGAGGAGAGAAGTACCCAGAGCCTGTTGGGAAGATAGGGAAGAATTTAATAAGGTGGGGGTAGGAGAATTGGGGATGGGAGACAGGGCCCCAGCATCTGCACAGCACTGGCTTGTAGGGTGGCTTTGTCCTGGAGGTTATGTGGTACCTGTGGTTAAACTGGGATTTGAACCCAGGCATGTAGGCTGCCCAAGCCACATTATTTCGGTGGCACCACACTGATCCTGTTCCTACGGTATGCGGCCGAAATGGCGGAGCTGTAAGAGGGACAGGCAGTCCTGGTAGTCATTCTTGGGCTTATGGGAATGTACCAGCTATAGATATACACAGTAGTCAGGCCGACTGCCCTCTGAACCTGATTCCCCATTTGAGGATGCTGTGTTTTCCAGTCCTCCCTTGCAGGCTTTTGTGAGCAGAGAAAATGCACACTTGCCCTAGTCCATTAGTTTCTCACTCAGATCCACAGATCCACTCTAAGACAATGGTTCTCAGAACTTTCATACGCATGAGAAATGCCTGGGAATGCATGTTGCCAGGTCCCATTTGTAGAGATTCTGTTGAGCCAGTCTAGGCTGGGGCCTGGGAACAGCTAGTCGTGATTCTGATGCAGGTGAAATGAGAGTGCTTTCTGAGAAACGAGAAACGGTCTTCTAAGGTACACACATGGGCCCACTGAGTGCAGGAAGGCTTTATTCTTCTGTCAAAACTAGAACCAGGCCAGCCAGTGCCAGCAGGGCAGCTGGAAACCTCTGGTGGAGGTGGCTGTTAAGGTTCACAGTTTGGGCTCGTGACCCACGATCTTGTCCTCACCCTTCCGACACGTCCGGATGATCCACGCGTGCTCATCGTCATCTGTAGGGAAAGAGAGAGAGCTGGTCATGCCTGGTGTCTGCTGGGACCTTCTCTACCCTCGGAGAGGCCGCAGGGTGTGGTCCTGGGGCTGGCGTGCGTTCCTGCACAGGCTGATGGTCTGCTGGGGGTCCGCTGGAGCAGATCTTTTATTTAAATTGATTCTCTCAGCAGAGCACCTGGTCTCGGAAATTAAACACAAAAGGGTCTGTGGACGCTGATGGAGGCGAGTCAGTCTGATCCCAAGAGAGCAGCACCCACACCCTCAGGCACTCATCCCATCCAGTATAACACAAACTGCAGGCCCAACTGGTAGTTAGTGCTGGGAGACAGGAGTCTCAGATGTTACTTTCTTTCCTGGGCTCTCTGTTCGTGACCCTTCAAAGTACCTGTGGTTTCCAAAGAAGGCCGACACCCTGCTGACTCAGGTGCCTTGCTGGGCAATTCAGAGGAGGAGCAGCTGCAGCTCTGGGTCTTCCCTGAGTCCCTGAACGCAGGCAGACATCTCCCTTTGCTTAGTCCCGTGGCTGCCTGACAGGCAAGTCTTTCCCACCACTTCCCAGAGCAAGAGACAGGGGCTCTCCGGGTCGGGTCACTTGTCCACAGTCTCGGGTGAGCAGTGGGGAGGGAGCCCAGGATCTGAACCCAGCGTTGTTTAACTACAAAGCCTGTGCTGCTTTTCAAAACCTCAAATAAATATACAGACTGGAGTGAGCTGGTCATCAGTCCATAGCACACCGCCACCCACGCACTGGGCAAGACCCCTTGCAGATTTACTATATTTTTATTTTCCCTCCTTTCTCCTCAGACCACACCCAGCCCCTCCCCCCCCACAGGGCCCCACTCTCCTGGTGGGATATATATGCCTAAACTGCACGTAGCTCTATAAAATATGTGCTGTTGTTTTGTGTGCGAATGTGTTTTTAATTTAGAAAAATGGCGTTGTGCTGTGAATTTCTTTGTGTCTCACTTCTTTCGCTTGACAGTATGTTTTCAGGGTACTGCTATCCTCATATTCCCTGGTTGGCTCCCCTCACATTTTATTCTCCATCTTCCCAGTGGTGGAGAAGGAGGATGACTCCACCTCCCTGCTACCAGGAACGGCACTGGGGTCAACATTCTCAGGCATATCGCTTCAAGGATTCAGGGGAGAATTGCTTTGGGGTCATATTCCAGGAGTAGAGTCCTAGATCGTGCAGAGAATTCCTTCACGGGTGCCCCTAGCTAAGCCTATGCTCTTTTGCACCACACTGGCTGCCTGTCTCTTCTCCTCAGCCCTCTTCCCTCCAAGTCCTCTGGGACCTCAGGCCATTCTCTGGGCTACAGGCAGCAGGAGATCGCACCTTCTCTCCTTTCCTAGTCCAGCACTTTCTGCCTAAAAGATGAGAGGATGAGATGTTCCATCCTCTTTGGGTGACAAGTGCTAGAAGCTAAGAAACAGGCTGGCTTCCTGGGAGCTGAAACACAGAGGGCTAGTGAAAGCTTGCTCTCTCAATCAGACCTCCCTGCCCAGGGACACCCCCGGGGTACCCACCCCTGCCCAGGGACACCTTCCTCTTCTGTGAAAAGCCCCAGGCCTGGGTCAGAGATGGAGCAGCAGGCTTAGCCTTGTGGGTGCTTTACAAGCACAGTGTCTCACTGGATCTCTGTAATGCCCAGCCGGGGAAGAGGGAGGCCCTCATTTTATAGAAGGGCTGGGCAGAGCTACCAGTCAATTTTTAGACTCTGCAGTGTGGCTTCTCACCCCAGGGCAGATGTGATGGTATTGAAGAGAACGTCCCCTTCCCCCAAAACACCCAGTACTACTTCCTCTACCTTATTTCTTTATATATGATTTAAGGAAAAAGGCTGGCTAGCTTGCTCCGGTCTTTGAGAACTGCCCTATGCAGTCAGTGGGCCTCAGTTTCCCCCTGGGAAAGCTGCCCAAGAGTCCGGCTAAAGCTGGCAAACCAAGGGTGGGGAGAGCAGTGATGATGTGTCAGCACACAAGGAGTTAAGCACTGGTGGAGCCCACTTTTGCCACACTGTGAACAGCCTGGTTGATAATTACAGTTCTGAAGTCTCCAGGCTATTCGAATCTCAGTGCAGCTGCAGCCTCTTCAGCAGTAACCCCTGAAACCAGACAAACTGGGTGTATTGTGCAGAGCCCGTCCTCAGGCCCCTCCCTGATCGTTACAAATTGACAGCAATGGACTTAACAGCCCTCTTCACTACCCCTCTCACTCTCTACCTGGCTGCAAAGCCACCAATTTGAATCACAGATGCCTCCCCTCCCGGCAGCTGCTCACCCACCCTCCCTCCACCTCCCCAGGCGCTTCCGAGGCTCCCCTGGCCCTGCCACGCCAGGGTGAGGCTGCCGAAGCATCTTTCATCAATATTTAAAATGGAATTAAACCTGTAGCTTTGATTAATGCCTCCCAGATCCCGGGAGTTGTGATTACTATTTTGCAAATTGCGATTGTTGGAATATGTTAATATGATTGTCTGAGAACATCTTCACCTTCTCAGATAATTTTTCCCCCTTTTTGGCAAGGAGGGGAGGGAGAGAGGAGGGAAGATGGAAAAAAGATGGGGGGAACACCTCACAAACTCTTTAATCAATTGTAAATTACCATCTTTGGCACAATTGCTGATGGTGCGCAGGGACAGGAAGGAAGATTTCTGGTTTGGTGCATTTATCTTTAAAAGTTTTTGGCTCTCGTTGACCCAGTAATCCCACTCTGGGATGCAGTCCCGGGGAATAATCTATTTGTCTCAGGACTACTTAGAATCAAGAAAATGACATACATCGCAAAAAACAAGGGAATAATTACTTTGTTATAGAGTCATTCATTTAACAAATAATTTCTAAACACAAGCCACATGCCAGGAATCGTGTTAGCTTGGGAAGGGGGCAGTGGACACTCACTGCAAAGAATGTGAGAGGCTATTCAGCACTATTGAAAATGATAGGAAGTATGGATAGGGGGAATGTTTGTGATGAGATAATAACTCAAGAAAGTGAAAGAGGAACAAACAAAATTATACAGACAGTATGCTCCATGTAAAAGGTATACACAGAACAAAAATTAAAGATAGTAAATTGAAGTGTGAATCATGATCAGTTCTGAGAAGTGGGACAAGGGAAGTTCTTCTTTCTGCTTTTGGTATTTTCCAAATCTTTCACTAATGTGTGTTGACAATATAAAAAAAATTACTGGATTTTTTTCCCCTACTTTTCAGTCTTGGTAAGGTCATGTGTTTTGTTAATGTAAATAAAATATTTCTAGGTTCCTAGAAATACTGATAGGTTCTTGAGCTTCTAAAAAAATTAAAAGATCTTAGCATAAAAATACTAGTAAAACTGCATAAAAAGCAGAAAAGACAAGTTCTAAGAATTCCAAAGAATTGATGTACCTGCTGTTCTCTCAAAGAATTGAAACAACATTCTCTGCTTTTTTTTTTTCCTTGAGCTAGAATTTCACTATGTAGTTAAGACTGTCCTTGAACTATGTAGCACAGGTTGGCCTTGAACTTGTGGCGATTCTCCTGTCTCCGCTCTGAGTGCTGGGATTACAAGCATGTGCCACCGTGCCCAGCAAAATTTCCTACTTCTTAAATGTGGCTGTGTATGCTGACTTCCAGAAGTACAGTATGGAATGGCAGGGTTGGTTTTACAGTGGAGGATTCTGACCTCAGCCAGGTGTTCAAGGTTAACCTCAACATCAGTAGTTATTTCAATAGTCTGTACCCTTGATACGTTTGGATGAAAATGGTACTTTTTCCTCTGTGGTCTTCCTTCCTAAAAATTCACAATCCTGGTCTAACCGTGAGGAAACCATCCGATACATCCCAGCGGAAGGACATTCTACACAGTGCCTCGACCGGTACCTTCAACACTGTCACGGAAAACAAGGAAAGCCTGAACCACTATTCGCATGGAAGAAGAGTCCAAGGAGACACCACTAAATGTAATGTTGGATGGATCCTGGCAAAGAAAATGGGAAAAGGCTAAAGAGATCTGAATAAACTATGGCATTGTGTTCATACATGTTACTATTAAGGTTAATTCACTAAATGCGACACATATACCACTCAATGTAAGATATGAGCAATAGGAGAAAGTAGGTGTGAGGCATATTGAGATTGCTGTACCATCATCTTTACAATAATTATGTAATTTAGAGCCAATGTGCTCCCTCACGGGTGAGATCGCTACCAATCCAAACAAAAGTCGTTATCTCCTTTCTCTCACAGCTCCCTTGGGCCACAGTTTTGAAATCCAGGTCTCAAATGTCATTTGACCTCCTCCCAGTCTGTCTTGTCTTTTATTGTCTTCTTAGCGTACACCACTCTCTATAATCTTTTACTTACACGCTGCCTCTTCAGTCTAGACTGTATGCCCACGTGAGACCAGGAACCTTGCACCCATGGTATCCCCAGTGCTGAGAGGAGTGTCTGACGCACAATAGGGGCACAGTTAATACCTGTTGAGCGAAGAAATGAATCAACAGGCCCAATCCTGTGGTGACTGTGTGCCCGGTGCTAGGAACGGAGGAGACTGAAAGCCAGCATCGAGCACTGCCAAGAGGCCCAATCCATATATGAGGTCTGGTTCTATCTGTACAGATCCAAAGCCACCTGGGAGCTGGGGAATGTTTCTTCCAAAATCTCCCCAGCAGGTTGGTGGCTCAGCATCTGAGTCAAACCTGTCTGGTTAAGGACTCTGTTCAGTCTACCCTGTGCTGCCACAGGCTCCCAGATGTCCCACCTTGCAAGACAACCTCTAGCTTTCCTTTGAGTTTTGGGGCATTTCTCATGAACTGTGTGTTTTAAGCACTTTTCAGGAATGACCTCACTCTGTCTTCATGGCAGACCTTCCAGGCAGGCACCTTCATAGATGAAATGAGACCTGTGGAGGTATGAGGCCACTTGCCAAGGTAGTGGCACAGAGCCCCAAACATGCCAACTGCATGTCACCCACAGTGCATGAGAAATGCCAGGATTTCTCCTGTGCACCCAGGAAATAGAAACTACAATCGTCATTCTAATGGGTCTTCCCAAACTGGGCATCCATAAGAGAGCATCCTTATGGGACTCACCTCCTTCCCTGGGACTTCTGGTTACCTGCCAGGATGCAGGGAACCCAGGGCAGAAGTCTTTACACAGGATCAGCATCTTAAGGATCAAGAGCCACTGCTCAGCTAATGAGTTTTGTTCAAAGCCAGGAGAGCAGGCCAAGGCATGAGAGCCTGGGGAGGGCAAATGGGCAGATTAGGGTCACTGAACACCATAAGCCAATCTCTGCTACCTCTTGGCACACTTTTGGGCTGAGCACACCTGAGGTCACCACTGCTACAAAGGTCCCACCCATGTGAGTGGGGCAGGGTGGAGAGTGGGAAAGGGAGGAGACACAGAAGGACCTCAGGGCCTCAGGAGGGAAAGAGGCTCACGGGGTCGGGCACCTACGAGGGCTTAGCATTGGGGGAGCTTGTTTCATTCTCCTTTGGTGAGTGAGATGGGCTTGGCTCTACCTAGGATGGGAAGCCAAGTCACAAAGGGGTGCAGTGCCTTGCCCTCTTCATTCCACCAGGGCGAAGGGAATATTCCCATGTGCTCCAGGACCAGTCGCACTCAGGAGTGCATACAGATACACAAACGTGTGTTTCCATCACATACATAAGCATGAATCAGCGTGTGCCTCAGTGGTCTCAGAATGTGAGTGACTCTGTTTGAGGGTGAGCATGAACACATTGATGCATGGGAATGGTTGTGTAAATGTGACACGTGTAACTTACTGAGTGTGGCAGTGTGTGACTACCTGAAGTTGATGTGTGTGTGTGGTCACATGCAGGGGAAGGAGTTACTGCCAAACTACAGAGACAGCCCTGGATTCAACCGAAATGCCAGGTGAGCACCGGAAGGAGAGGCTCTGGGGAAGCGGGTGCTGTCATGGGGAAGCTGCCCTCGTTCCCAGGGTCCAGGCCCATCTCAGAGGACTCTGGCTGGAACCAGGGGAAAACAGCAAACCTGACTCCCAGCCTGTGTGCAAGCACCACACCCTCAGTGCAAATGCAGGGCTGTGTGAGCTGGTGGGGCAGGGCCAAGGCAATGCCACCATGAGGGCGGTGATGCCCTGGTCTCCTTGTCACAACTCCTGACAGGATAGAAGCTTTGAACTTTGCTGGCAGTAGTGGTGGCCAGAGGCCAAGGCCACAGCGTCGTCAATATTGACTGAAGGGTCATTGCCCAGGCAGAGCCCGCTGTAGGCAGGTGGGAGGCCTTGGGGCTGCTTTTGCTGTTCCCCGTGAAGATGCTTTCTGGAGGATGGGTGGAGGCTGGGGGTGGATTAGGACAAGCCACCTCACCCACTGGGAGCCAGAGGTGCAGGCCCGAGCACCCACCAGCTTGTCAAGGCCTATTCAAAGGTAAGAGGCTAAGAAAGAGTGATTGACTCTAAGATATCAAAAAGAGAAGCTGCAGAACTGAAATTAAGAAATGTTATAATTAATGCATTCAGACTTGATTAATTATTAAATTTAGAAATCAAAACAATTTTATTACACTTCAAATCCATTTGCGGGCTCCATTTCCTCAGTGTGCCAGAATCTCCAGTAAGCACACCACTCTCTAGAAATCACAGTCAATTGTTATAAACTGGTAGTCAAACAATTGATGAAACAAGTTAGATCCTTTCCAAGTTTTCACAGCAAAAATACTATTTAACATGACAGTGTGGTCACATTTTGTTCTAATATATGGAGATGAGTGAGGTAGGGTCTCCATGGTCAGGGCTAGGGGCAGGACTTAGAGCTATTGCTAGGGAAGGGTGAACTGGGCATGGGATGGAACCACTTGGTGTTAGGAAGCACTGCTCTGTGCCAGGGCCATGGTTGGGCGGGCACACTGCACCCTCACTAACACCTCTGTGAATGCACAGCACAGCGTTGTCTCTGGTGGGAATGGTGGGTGCCCAAAGTCACAGTGAGCCTTGAGAAATCTCTTAGGGAGCCCCATGCTGGAGGGGGACACCTCGTTAAGTGCCCCACAGCAGGTATTCTGACATTGTTGGGACAGAGAATTAGTCCTTCTGACGAGGTGCAGATGTACTGGAGTTGGCTTACATCTGTGGGTGATGCTAACCCTTAGTTACTAGAACCGCCTTCTGTGCAGCAAGATGATCTGAGGGAAAGAGGCACCCAGGCATAGAGATTACTTATTCAGTCTCCCCAGAGCAAGCATATGCTGAATGGAGGGTACAAAATCCCTGTCACTGTTGATATTGCCCTTCTTGGTTCTCTACTTTTCCTTTTTGAGCACTAACACTTGGATTTGTGCTCACCAACCACATTCACAATGCCTAGCCACTCTACTAAGGCAGCTCAGAGAGGCCAAGGGCCTGGCCAAGGTCAGTTTGTCACAGCCTCTGTCCTGAACTCTTGCTCTTTTTGCCCGTTTCCTGGCTGCACATGGACAATGGACCAAAGAGCCTGGTATTGGGAGCCCATTTTCCAGTTGGCAGATGGGAGGGCTGAATTAGGCTGGGGCAGTGGGGACAGGCAAGAGGAAGGAAAGAGGAACCATAGGCCAGAATTTAATGAATCCCCACAGAGATCTTGCAAAGTCAATGCTGCTGTCTCTGTTTCCTAGGGGAAGACAGTGTGTTTCAGAGAGGTGAAGACATCTGCCCAGCTAGTGACAGGTGCAAGGTCACAGTCAAGTTCCTGAGAAACCTTTTTTTTTTGGGTACCAGGGTTTGAACTCAGGTCTTTGCGCTTGTGAGGCAGGCAGCAGAACCACTGAGCTAAATCCCCGGCCCCCTGAGAAACCTTTTGGAACTCCTGACCTTACTGTTCATTGTCTGAAGGGAAGAAGCCAAATTCCCTAACTAGGTTTCAAGGCTCTCTGTAGCCCTCTGCCTTGAATGGCCAACCCAGACCTACTCCTAGGCCTTCACCAAAACCCAGTCTGTCCGTCAGACCTCAGGGAGGTCTCCTCTCTCTCTCTTCACCCTCCAACACACAGCAGCTGCTCCATCTTGAGTACTGCACTGTGCCTTTGCCCATGCTGTTCCTTTCCTTCCATGCAGCAAAATCCACTTCTTGCCCTTTAAGGCCTAGCCGGGCCCTCCTTTCCCAGGACACCACGTCAGCTACATTTCTGTATGTTCCTTCAGCATACTGTGAATCTAGCTCTGGGCAACAGAGAAGCAGGGCCACTCTTAGTTTTTTGGGGAAAGAATCTCATATTTGATATTTCTAATAAACACGAACATGATCATGAATGTAATACTGTGTTGGTCTGTCTTCCATATGTTTTGGGTGGTTTTTGTTATTTTCATTCCTGAACTATATTTTGAGGGCAGAAGGTTCCCTATAGGTCATTTGAGCACTTAGGCTCCCTAAAAGCCCCAGCTTCTGTCCAGAGAAGCCCCAAGCCAGCCCTGTGACTGTCTGTTTATGCATCCGTCCTCCCAGCCCTGCACTGATTTGCAGGTTGGGTGCTGGGTCTGGAGGACATCCTAGTGTTTACAGTGGCTCAGTGAGGATCTGTGTCTGGAGGGAGCTCGGGGGTCTGAGGCTGGAGGTGGATGAGAAGTGATGAGGGTGAGAGGCCCCATGCAGAATAGAAGGCCAGAAGCCGCGTAGAGAGCAGGAAAGCACGGGCCTCTCGTGCAGTCTGGGAATCAGTACCAAAAGCAGGAGGGTAGAGGCCAGAGGGCATCTTGCCAAGGTGACACTGGCTTCTCTTTGGGAATTTGGAGTTAGGGAGGCCCCTGCTTTTCAGTTATTCACCCAAAGCTGCAAAATAATCACCAATCACCAAGTGCGTGGCATAGCCAGGCCCTGTTCTCAGTGTAACCCCTGTATCCTCTCCCTTGGTGCTCGCTACAGCCTTAGGATGCAGGTCTTATTTCCACTCTCATTTTTCAGATGAGGAAACTGAAGTTTAGAGAAGTCAAGAGACTAGCTCTAGTTCTCAGCTGGTAAGATCTAGCTGCTCTGAGTCCTGGTTCATCACCCTGTCTGCCGCCCTGAACCTGAGGCTGGCCAGGAGCTTCAGCGGCACTGGCTTCTAGAGCATGGGCTAAGGAAGAGAGATGGGCTCTGGCCTTGTATGCACTTCTGTTAAAGGAGACAAACAAACCGCGTGCACTGGGTGATGGCCTGGCCCAGGGTGACTCCAGAGGGCGGAAGGGGAAGCGGTGTCCTCTGAACAGCCAGGAGGCTGCTGTGGGGGCAGGAATACATTGTTATCAGAATCCTATGGGCACAGCAGCTGGAAGGGGAATTTCCAGGGCCTTTCATCTGGGGTGAGAGGATGGCAATGGGCAATTCCACGGGTCAGGGAGGGTGGCAAACGGGCAAGCTGCCATTCCTAAGGCAGTGATCTTGACAGGAACCTATCCATGGCTTCCAGGTGGCCAGTCCTGCCTTCTGCAGGCAAAATTCTGTTGGCAGATTCAAGTGTATTTTTCTGGAACTATAGCTTTGCCTAAATTCCGTGAGAGGCTCATGACTTAGTATAGGCCACAGTCTGCCTCACTGATTGAGAGCATGGCCTCAATTTCAGAAAGTTCAAATCTATACTTATTAAACCCAATTTCCTTTAGCAACAGAATAAGCAAGGCCCGCTGAGATTAGTTAAAATATGTAATGTTAAAATCAAAACCACTTTCAAAATTTCTTAAAAACGTTTTGTTCAATCTTCTGTAAAAACATTGGTCACCATTTAACATACAGCAGCAACAAAATGCACCCGGTTTACATGCACAAACAAGTCAGTAAATTGTAATACATGGACAACATGAATGTCAAACAAACGGTACTAAAGCAGTTCACGCTGCATTTACCACAGGTTTAGTGCTCCTAACAGAGAAATAGCTAATATGAGAAACAAGGAGTTCGAGTTTCAATCTGAAATAAGATTCTTTGTGTAAGTAGCATGAAATAATGGCCACAGATCATTCGCCAAAACGGAACAATTCTTCAGAAATCACCTGTGCAAAGCACCATATCAGAGCAGGCCAAGACCCTGAAACCTCCAGTTAATGACAGAAGGGCTTCCTGTTTGGAAAACCAATTCTCTAAATTATTCAACATTTTTTTATTGTGACTGTAAGATACGGTATCTTTCAATATGAAGGTTCTGTGTTCCATATTTTGGCAACTCAAATTTAATTCCTGGTTCTTCCTTTTAATAATGTCACCGACAGATTATTAAATAACCTACTCCCCAAGCCTCAGTTTCC